CTCGTGTCGTGGTCGTCGTCTGCTCCTCCTCCTCCTCCTTTTCCTCCTCTCTTTTGCCGCGCCATAAGCGAAATTCTTGTGTCCTGCTTCTCCATGTGGTGCTGCGCCCGTACTTTGGCGGGGTCCTGCGCCCGCAGGCTTTGGCCCAGCTCCGTTTTCACGAACAGATGCTTTGCTGCAGGGCTTGATGCCCACCCCCGATGCGGGGCTCTGCGCGCACCCCCGGTGCCTCCGCAGCGCGTCCGCTCCAGAGTCGGGCTCCGCGGCGGGGTGCAGAGAGCTCTCCTGCCCGGTGGGCTCTGGAGAGTTTTGCCCCAGGCGGATGCCCTCCTCGCCCTGCTTCGGTGTGCCCGGCATCAGCAGCAGTGCCTCATCGCCGTGCGGCCCCCGTGAAGAGCATCGGGGGAGTGGTTCCCCGTGCCGGGCGCGCGGATCGCAGTTGAGCACGATGCGCCGCCTCGCAGGCGTCCGCTCCTTCGCTGCACACTGGTGCTTCGGACCTCGCCCTTCCCTGGCGCAAGGGTGAGGACGGGAGGAGGACGGTGGTGGTGGTGGTGGTGGTGGTGGTGGTGGTGGTGACGATGACGATGACGAGGACGACGAGAACGACGATGACGAAGACGACGACGATGACTATGATGATGACGACGACGGCGGCGACGACAACGACAACGATGACGATGACGAAGACGATGACGACGACGGCGACGACGATGACGACGACGACGATGACGACGACGACGGCAACGGCGACGACGACGATGACGATGACGATGACGACGACGGCGACGATGATGACGACGACGACAACAACGGCGACGCCGACGACGACGACGGCGACAGCGACGACGCCCAACGATGACGATGACGATGACGACGACGATGGCGACGATGACGACGATGACGACGACGAGGAGGAAGGAGGAAGAGGAGGAGGAAGGAGGAGGAGGAGGATGAGCTGTGCGTCACCCAACGTTCAGCTGCTCGTTTCCACATCCATTTCTCGGTGCTACCCTTCTACCAATTTGCCGCGTTCGCTGGACACTTCAACCAACGCTTCCAGCAGCAGCAACAGCTGGCCCGCAGCGACTAACCTATTTCTGCGAGTCCCACTTCACCACCCCCTGTCGACGGAATACTCCCACCTCTACGGCCATCAAGCAGCACAGTACGTACGGCGAGCTCATCTACAACAGGCCATGCTATGAAGTGGGTCCACGGTAATACAGGGTTTCAAAACCCACTATGGCTATCTCACCCACGTATGCTACCGAACCGACTCACCGCGAGAGTGCAAGCAACACCATACCAGTGGATAGAGTTCCCTCATGCGCTTCCTAGGTGGGGGCCTTAGTCACCAGCTGTGAGCTGGGGCCTCGGAGGCTGCAACGCGAAGAGCCTCCTGTCCACTGGTCTTGAGAGGGCCTTACCTAACCTTTACGCCCTCCCGGTTCACCTCCTTGCAGCCCCCCCCCCAACACCTTTGCCTCACTAGCCTTCACCTACCCACTCGTGTGGCGGAAGGGCATGTGGGAGGTACGGGGGGGGGGATGGGGGAGGATGGCCTACTCACCGGTAGCTGCCCTGGCTTTGGCCACGGCGGCCGCGGCACGCCACCCGCGCCAGCACACCTAGTCACGCTTTGCGCTGCCTCCCGCAACTCATGCCACTTTTTGCCAGTGTGACTCAGCAGCAACCGAAACAGTTGGACAGACGCCGACGGTCACCTGGAAAACAGTGGTGCGGCCCGCAACGCCGAGAACAAACCGACTTCGGGAACCTTGCGCCAGCCTCGGCGGGTGGGGGTTCTCTTGGCGGGGCTGTGGGCCGTCGTTCCGAGCTTCCTGTGCGTACGGGGGGGAAGACCCTGTGCCTTCCACTGTGGCGGGCGCGGCCTGGCCACGCCCCCTGCCGCGCCGCCACCGCCTGCCGCCGCTCCTGTTAGCCGCCACCACACCACAACCGCTCCTCCCTCCTCCGAGGTTTTAGTTTCCTCTGAGTCTTTCTTTCCTTCTTTCTCCCCGCCGCCTGCCATCGTTTACCCTGTTTGCCAGATGCCTCGCCAGCCGGCGACTGGGGCGGGCGCCCCGCAGTCGCCGGGCTCTTTGGGAGATGACGAATACGGATGCACATGAACTTGTACGTAAGAGTCATGAAAGTTAAGAGTTAGGAATATGAAGAACATGCCAATAATAGGAACAAACGGAGAGTATTGAATCATAGTATGAATACTTTGCAAGGAATTGTGTGTCTATTGTCTGTTCAGGTTGCTGCAGCAAAAACTGTTTCTTCTCGCGGCTAGGATTCGCGCCAGGCGCGCTCGCCACCGTTCCCCGCGGTCGCGGGGATTCGGCTGCATGTCATCAGAGGCTTTCTCAATAATGCGACTGGCCTCCTGTCGGACTGCAAGCGAACGGTCGACGAGCAACGGGCTGCCAGTATTCCAGCGCGTACTTCCTGTAAGGGGAGCAGCGGGCGCATTTGCCAAGCTCCTTTTCCGTCGACGTCCGCTCGCCGATGGCAAATCCGCCGCCAATCCAGTAGACCCAGACCCCCAATGTTACGACGCTCGTTCTGCATTTTTATTCTCCTGCGACGTACTGAGTTTGGTGATTCATGGTTTGTTGCGTTGGTTTTGCTTCAATTGTTTTGACTTGCTTCTTTTTGGCAGGGCAGGACAAGCCCTTGGCATGCCTTGATAGTCCTAGTCAACCCTTGATGACCCTTGACAGTCCTTGACAGTCCTCAAGCAGCGTCGAGGTCTGTCCAGGCTTAGGGAAGATGTCAATGGCTGAACCCTGGCCGATTGGATCTCCAGGTTGGCGTTGGTCGGGTCGTGCATTTCTTACGACGGACGCGAAAAAGCTTCCCGCGCGCTCGGAGTTGTGTGTGCAACCGAATACTCGCCATGTTGATATGGAATCTAAAGTAAACCCGTGTCGCGGTGACCGACCGAATTTCGGGTGACCCGCGCGGTGGGCGGTCATCCGCCGCGCGCCCGCGAACGCGTGGCGAGTTCTGCGTTGTCCACGACAAGACAGTTGCCATGGTGGTCTGGAACTAGGGGCAGCCCTGGCCGGTGACCAGTTGGGTTTTGAAGAGACCATGGGTTCTGGGGTTCTGGTGTACGATCTTACGCACGATCCAGTCAGCAATCCCCTACGCGCGTGCGCGTGAAGAGGTCTGTATTGTCCACGAGGGACAAGTCGCATGCTTGCGTGAAAACCCGAGTGACACCGTGGCGGTGACCGATCGGATTTCGGGTGACCCGCACGGTGGGCGGGTCACGCGCCGCGCGTGCGCGCGAGGGCGTGGCGAGTGGTGCAATGTCCACGGTGGGAAAGTCTCCATGTCGTCCCGGAAACGAAATGAACTCTGAGTTGTGACCGACAGGATTCCGGTCGGCCCACGCGGTGGGTGGGTCACCCGCCGTTCGTGCGCGCGCGTGGCGTGTTCTGTATTGCTCACAATTGGAAAGTCGTCATGTTCGCCTTGGAAAATGAAGCACCCTTTAGCGGTGAGTGATTCGATGTTGAAGATGACATGGGTTTTGGTGTCGGAATTTCTCACGTACGCGCGTGACGTGTTCTGTATTGTCCACGTCCACAATGGGAGAATCACCATGTTGGCTTGGGAACGCGAGTGAACTCTTCGCGGTGACCGACAGGATTTCGGCTGGCCCGCGCGGAGGGTGGGTCACCCGCCGCGCGCGCGTGGCGAGTTCGGCAATGTCCACGGCCGGAAAATCACGAGGATGGCTTGGGATTTGGAGGGAACCATGTGACCGATCGCATTTGAAGATAACTTGCGTTTTTTTACACGCCCCGGAAGTGAGAGACATATTATGTTTGCGAGAAGCCTAAAACGAACCCGTTGCGGTCGCCGCGCGCGCGCGCGAGTGACGCGTGCCTCCCGCGAGGCACATGGAGATTTCGACCTAGTCGAGGAAGTGCTACTGGCAGCGCGCGTGATTCTTGCAACGGCCAAAAACTGTCCCCGTCTCTTCCTCCCCTTTCTCTTTCTCCTCTTTCCCCTCCTCTTTTGATTCCAGGGCCTTGGAGTGCAAGGCCTTAGGGTCTCGCGCCCTGGAGCCTATGGACCGCTGGTTCTGGGGCGCCGGCAACGCGCGAGTTTAGGCGCTTGGGGGATCGGGCCCGGTTTGGACTGGTCGGGGCTGCCCGCGGCCTCGGAACATTGGCCCCGTCGTGCGCGGCGCGGTCCCGGGGGGGCCCGCTCGTCGGCTCACTTGGCGGCCGATTGTTGGTTGGCGCCCCCTGAGCGGCCCGCCTGTCCGGGGGCGCCCCGTAACAGTTCGGGCTTCAGCAACAGGAAACAAGCCCAACCGTATCAACCCAAAATAAGGGCAGGTGTAGTAACCCTGAAGTGCCCACTATTGCAATGCGCGAAGTGGAACTAAACTGCAAAGAAAGGACCCGCTTGTAGTAACTCAAATCGAAGTCAATCATAGTGGGCAAAAACCAATGCTAAGTGTAACAATTCAAGAACGAGGTCAACTGTAGCAGCCGGAAACGAGGCCAAATGTAGTAGCTCAACAACGAATTCAGTCACAGCAGCCGCGAGAAAAAACAAGTGTGGTAATTCCAAAAACGAGATCAATTGTAGCGGCCAGAAGCGAGGCCAAGTGCAGTAATTCGAAATCGAGGCCACTTGTAGGAGCCAGAAACGAGGCCAAACGTAGAAACGAAAGCCCACATCCATTACAGTAGTGAATATGTGATCTCTGGGCGCGCAGCCTCGGGCCACGGCGTGGGCGTGCCTGGGGCCGTTCCGTCGTCCCCCTCCCCTTGCCCTCGTCCCCTCTGTTTCTCCTTGTAGGTGGCTTTGGCGCTGCGGCCCCGCCCCCCGCGGCCGTTTTGCCTGCGGGCGGGCGCCGCGCCCGTGGCCGTGGCCCCCGCGCCAGTCGCCCGCTCGCCGCGCCGCGCTGCGTCCTGGAGCGCAGGTCGCGCCCCCCAGCTTGGCACCGCCGCGCGCGGCGGCAGTGGGCGCAGGCGCGGTTCGCCTTGCGTCTCGCTGCCGCTCGCGCCACCCTGGCTGGGCACCGCGGCGAACGCTCCAGCGCGGCCGTCGTCGGGTCCGACGCGGACATGTCTACGCCGCCCTGGCAGACAGCTGCAGGGCAGCAGTGGGCGTGCACGGCCTCCCGTGTCTGCGGGTTTCGGACCAACTTTTGGCCCCGTGCCACCTGCTGCAGGTGCGGCCGCGACAAGCTCGGGGGGCTGCGGGAGGTCGAGGGCTCCGCCTCCATCAAGCTGCCCTCGCCTCGGCCGCTTCTGCTGGCCGCCGCCGCCGCCGCGCTGCGCCTGGGGGTGCTGGGGCCTCTTCCAGCTGCCGGCGCCGCTGAGCCCGCGGCCGGCCCCGCGCTCCACTGAGCGCGCCAGGGGCTGCAGGCCCCGCGCAACCAGCAGTGCGGCGATGACCACCCACTGGTCGCAGCAGCTCGGGGGGGCCTCGCGAGGATCGAGGCGGAGGAGCGCGGGGCCCAGCCTGCCGAGGTGCTTCTGTGCAGCCTCCAGGAGCGCCTCGACGACGCCATGGCCAACCTTGACCAGGCCACCGAGGCCTTGGCGGCGTCGACGGCTGAGGTCAAAGGCCTCGCCAGCTTGCTGGCCCAGCGCGGGGCAGAGGAGGCCGACGTCGAGGCCGAGATGGCGGATGTGCGCCGCTCCGCGGCGGCCGCGGTGTCTGCCCCCGCGGGTGACCTGGCTGGTCTCGCCGCCGCGCTGGTCGGTCTCCAGGCGCTCCTCGGCAGTGCCCAGTCCGCGGTGGCCAACGGCCGGGGGGTCCAGCTGCTGGAGGCCATCGACAGCCAGGTTCTGGCAATGGGCGCTGCCTTCCTTGCCCAGGCCTTGCAGGGTGCCCTCGACCCGCTTGGCGCTGCCGCGTCGGCCGGCCCAGCCACGGGCGCTGCTGCCGCCCCTGGGCGCCCGCTAGCGCCTGTCGGGCTCGGGCCCCCTGCTGACCGCGCCCGCTGCCGCTGGAGACGCTGCGGCGCGAGTCGGAGCTGCTTTTCGCTTTTCAGGAGACCCCGCTGCCAGCCGCTGGGAGCGCGCGTGGGGGATGGGCGACTAGACGACGTGGGCGGCGGAGGGCAGCTCGGAAGGATGCCTCTTTCATGATTTGCAACGGCTCATCCTGGGGGTAGCGCCGTGATTCTCTGACTGCGCGTGTGATGCCTCGATCTTGGCTGTCGCTGCGCGGGGGCTTCGTATCGATGGGGGCGGGGTTCTACGTGCACAGGGATGGGCAGCTCGATCTGGATGCCGCGCCATTATTTTTCCATGCCGCCGCCTAGAGTCGGGGCGGCCGTCCGCTGGGATTGGAATCTTCGTTCGGCGGCGCGTCAGTGTCGCGGCGTTACCAGGTCTCGGTGCTGATGGGTCCATTGAGGTGGCGCCGAACTTCTGTGTGGCGTGCCGTGCAAATTTTGGCATGCAAGGTGGCCTGGTGCTGGTGTCTGCTAACTTCGAGGTTGGCCAGTGGGCCGCAGCGAACGCCATCACGTTATACAGTATTGCGCGTGTACTTCGTGGTTGGAATCGCCCTTTCGTCATGGGCGCGGATTTCACTTGTGGCCCGAAGGATCTGGAAGACATTGGCTACCTAGACTACGGCTACATTCCCGCGCGGGCCGTCGCTCGGTCTCGGGCTCGGGGCATCGCGGCAGGGACATGTCGGAGTGCGAAGGGCAACTGCTCCAACATCGACTTTTGGCTGGTAAACATGTCCTTAGCTTGATCTTTCTTTGCTCCAAGGCCCGTGCCTGGTTGGCCTGCGGCTCCGCGCTATCCTGCGATGGCCGCACTCGCGGCGCGAGCCAGGGTGGTCAAGTTCGTGGTGTGGGCTGGGCCTCGCGCATTTCCTAAGCAGAGCCTCCTGGGGATGAGGTTCTGGTTGTCGACTCCGATCATGCGGGCGCCATCGAGGCGGGCGTCGCTCTTGGTGGTGAGGCGTCTCCAGCAGAGGCCCAGGTTGAATGTGCTCTACGCTGTCTTCATTGACTCCGTCGAGCAGGAGCTGGTGCAGGCCCGTGGCCTCGGGCAAGAAGCGTCTCCTGCCTTGGGGGGGGCTGCCTGCGTTGAGTGCCGCTGGCGACGGGCAGGCGGCCCACCTGCAGGTCCGCATCTTGCTGGCCCTCCCGATGCGCGGCGCGCTCGGTGACTGGCGCAGGCGGTGGCTGATCTTCTGCCACGAGATGCAGTTTGCCCTGGTGTACTACGGCGCCTTGAACGGCATGTCACCGTTGGGGCGGGGCGTGCTTGCGCGGACTCTGACTGTCGTTGGGTTGTGCCCCTGCTTCGCGGATGAGTTCCAGCTGCTCGTCGTCTCCTGGGTGCAGATGAGGCTTGCTATGTTTCCTGGCATGCAGCTCAGATGGAGGTTGGGTTGGCATGTGACGACGCCCAAGCTACCGAGCAGGGCCCTGGCGTCAGTTCGCAAGAAGTCCTGGTGTGCCAACGCGGCTACTTGGCTCTGTCGCCACGGGCGTCAGATCGCAAAGTCCTGGTGTGCAATTGCGGCTGCCGGGCTCGACGTCGCCGCGTGAGCCCAAGCTCGGCGGCGACCTGGAGGCGACAAATGATGTGGAGGTCGTGGCGCGCGTGGGCCAGTCGAGCGCGGGCCCTCGCCAGGGGGTCGCTGCTGGTGCGAGGCGCGGAGAGCGTCTGCGGGTGGGGCAGCGTGGGCGGGGCCCGACCACCGCGAGGGGCGGCGCGTTTGCCGGCGGGGGGGGGGGTAGGGGGGCAGCTCCCTGAGCCCCCCCCCGAGGCAGGCGCAGCCACGTGGCCGTTCCATGGGCGACTTCCAGTCGGAGGCGGACGAGGTGATGCGCATGGACCACGGCTCGAGTACTGTTCTTCTCCTGCCGCCGCTCGGGCTTGGCGCCAGCCTGCGCGCTGAAGGACCAGCGGTGGAGGTGCGTGTCCTGCTTGCTTCTGGACGTGGCGGTGGTGCTGGCCTTGCCAGGGGAGGTGACGAGCGTGGCGTAGTGGTTAGTCGTGTTGGGGACTGCCATCGCACTGCCCACGTCTCGGGGCTGACCCTTGAAGGTCCTGCAGTGGAGGTGCGTGACTTACTTGCTGTGGGGTGTGGCGGTGGAGCTGGCATTGCCGGGGGAGGTGATGAGCGTGGCGTAGTGGTTAGTCGAGTTGGGGACTGCCATCGCAGTGCGCGTGTCTCGGAGCCGAACCGTGGGTGCTTGTGCGGAGGCGCGGCTCGCGGCGGGGGCAACGTCGTGAGGGTTGTAGAGCTGCTCTGCCCCATGGGCGACATCCAGTCGGAGGCGGACGAGGTGGTGCGCATGGACTGCGGCGGGCGGTCAGGTCTGCCCCCGCCGCCGCTGCAGGTGCGCAAGCGGGAACATGGCCATTTCTACGTCCGCGACGGCGGGCGCGGTGCTCCAGCTCGCTGCTGATGACCTTGCGCGTGGAGCGTCGCCCTGTCCGTTCCTAGGAAGGGGGGCTGGTGACGTCGGCGCAGGGCCGCAGGAAGCCCTCGATCCGCTGCCAGCTCGCAGCGTTGTCCGAGATCGCCGTGCGGCACTTGGTGACGCCCCCTATGACCAGGCGGACCCCCCCCAGTGTGGGGCGAAGGCGGTGTGGAGCGCCGCCGCCAGTGGGGGTGCGCTGTCGTGAAGCTCCCCGCGGTCCTGCACTTCCTCTTGCTGTTCTTCCTGCTCCTGAGGTCCATCGCATGGACTCCTGCCCGTCGGTGGGCCTGGGCGACGCGTGGGCAGCGGCCCGAGAAGCCGCGCATGCAGCGGTCGCCTTGCTCGGACGCATCGCCGGCGTGCAGGAGCGGAAGGCCATGCACCAGCGCCGCAGGGCTTTCTCGAACTGGGCGCAAGATTGCGAGGCTGGCCGCAAGCCGCTGTCCTCTCCCACGAAGCCGTTCGGCTCACCGCGCACCCAGGTCAAGCGGCGCGGGATCCACGCGACGGCGGCGCAGCGCGTGGTCGATGATCAGATGGGCGGCTGGTCTAAGATTTGGAGGGCTTCGCCTGTATTGGGTTGCTCTACTTTGTCCCAGGTCGAGGGTGCGGGCCATTGTTGCCGCACTTGCGAGACTCGGCATCTGGCGAACTTCGACGACACCTCGGAAGTCTTTCAGGCCATCCACCAACTTCCGAATGCTGCGCTGCCTGTCCTTCGCATTGCTCAAGTGCGCAGGGCAGCGAAGAGCTTCCGCTGAACCACGGAACAGGGGGCAGACAGGCTGGCATCGCGGTTGCTGAGTGTTGTGAGCGACGAAGTGCTGTCCCTCCTCATCTACATCATGTGGCTTGCTGAGCATTGGGAGCGTTGGCGCGCGAAGGTGATGGCGGTGCGCATGGTGTTGTTGGCGAAGCCGACAGGGGGATGGCGTGGTCACAGGTTCGTGGCCACCAACAGCTGCGAGAGTGGCTTCGCGCATGATTGGCCTTACTTCGTCATGGCGGCTGGCGAGACCACCTTGGCGGTTGCCTCTTATGCCCATCTGTATGCTGAAGCAGGTCTAGCCCGCGGGCGTGGAATGGTCACCGCCATCGTGGATATCGAGAAGTGTTTCGACCGCATTTCCTGGCCCATCCTGGTCGAGGATGCTCGTGAGCATTGTTTCCCGCGTCAGTTGCTGGCGTGTGCCCTTGCAATGTATAGGGCACCACGCAGATTGGTGTGGTTGCAGGCTGCGTCGTATTCGGTGGTCGTTGAGCAAGGGGTTTTACTTGAACGCAAGTTTGCGAGGGCGTCTGTCCCGCTACTGATGGTTTTCGCAGTGGGCGAGTACCTACTCCAGGCTGACGCCATTGTCAACAACTGCGTCAGTACGTCGCACGCGTCGGATGTTTTCGCTGGCGACCACCTCGCAGGTGATTGCCCCGTTGCATGTTCTGGAAGGGCAGGCTGCTGACATTATTGGTTTCCTTTGTGATTCCCTACAGGACTTGGGAGTTCCTGTGGCCAAGTCCAAGGCTATGCTGGCCGCGTCTCACGACTGCACCGCCCCCCGCATCTCTCGGAGACTTCGGAGGTTCGGGTTCCGCGCCCTTTCCTGGCTTGAGGCCCTGGGGCTCGAGGTGGGCGCGGCAAAGCCAGTTCACTCTAGAGTCTTACGCCGCAGGATGAAGGCCATGTCTAAGCGTGTCCGTCATTCCAGCGGCTTCTGGTCTTGGGTACTAGATATCGGAAAGTGGCGAGGGCTGCCGTTGGTCCTGCCTCACGTGCGGATTGCATTCTGGGGGCTGCGCCACACATTTGCCCAGCGTGTGACCAGACAAGTCAAGCTGATACGGGATGCTAACGCCTGGGCTGTGATGGCGCACGCTGGCGACGTCACTCATCTGGACATGCAGAAGGCGTGGCGCGCGCAGTACCGAGTCATCGCTGCAGCACATCGGGCAGATATCTGGAGGCTAGTCACTGGACCAGCAGGAGCTTTTGCACGGTCGCCGCATGCACTGGCATTGGCTTGCTCGTCGGCGTTTGCGGTCCGTGCCAGGTCTTGGGAGCTTTTGGATCGTCGTGGCGGCCTTCGTTTTTGCGCTGGCTTGCCCGGCGGGATTTCGAGGTCTTGGGATGGCTAATGTGGTCTAGACAGTTATGGAAGGTCATGTCTCGAAACACGGCTATTTCAATAGGCTTATGCCACCTCCCCTCATTGTCTTCTGTGCGATGATGTTATCGGGACCTTGCGCCATCGATATTGGCGCTGCCCGCCGCTGGCGGCTTTGCGGGGGCATGCGGTGGATTCCGAAGTCTTGGCTATGGCCGCAGCCACTATTTCTGGAGATCTTTTCTATTCGAGGGGCTTATTCCAGATTTCTGGGTTGCCTGCATTGCCGCCGCGGGGTGACTCTGGACGGTGGCACTTTGACAGAGCCGCTCGAGGGAGGCCGCTTTGGTGATCCATGTGTTGTCGCAGGTGGG